ACTTTCCTATTAAAGCAACTAATTTGTGATTCTGCGCATTTCTCTCTCCTCTGCACAAATCTCTACCACACAATTTTTACTATTCTTATTTCTCACATACTTTGCACTTGGCAAAGTCCACCGGGACGGAGGTAGTATATTCTTTTTATCTTTTTTTTCTTATCATTTTATCTTTTTTGTATCTTTTTATCTTACTTTATCTTTTTATCTTTCTTATTTTACTTTTCCTTTTGGTTCCAATATGATGCACCGATTCATGTTAGTCCAATATGAATAGTAGTATATTGTAGCTTTGTTGAAATACCAACACCATGATTTTTGTGTACCAAGAGCTTGTTGTATACCAGAAATTTATCTATATTTCAAAGAGAGGGGGAGGTCATACTTTTATACATTATTCAACGGGAATAAAGCGTAATGTATTGGTAATCTGACCATACCAGATTGTATGGTAAATCGGAATTTTGTGAGAAGGATTCAAACGATAGAAGTTAGGCTCTGCGAAAGATGGGGCGGAAGAAAGTAGTGGGTCTAGATGGCCTACCAATCGATGCCTGTAGAAGTTTGAGAGAGAGAGAGGCGTCGAGTGGTTAACAAATTTCTTCAACAAGATTTGGAGAAACAATAAAATGCCCGCGAGTTGGCAGAAGAGTAATCTTATTCCCTTATTTAAGAATGATGGTGATGTATAAGAATGTGTCAACTATCAAGTGATTACGCTAATGAGTCACACCATGAAACTTTGGGAGCGAGTGATTGAGCAAAGACTCCGAAGGAATGTGGAGACATCGAAGAATCAATTTGGTTTTATGCTCAACAATTGATGTCATTCACCTTTTTTGGCAATTTGTGGTGAAGTATAGTGACACTAATAAGGAGCTGCATTTGGTGTTTATAAATTTAGAAAAGACATATGATAGGGTACCTCGAGAAGTTCTTTAGTGGGCCTTAACTAGAGAAGGCATTTCACGCAAGTATATCGACATCATCATGAATATGTATGCGGACTGTACTACAAGTGTTCGTACTGGTGTAAAGAGAACTATAGAGTTCCTTATTACTATCGGAGTTCACCAAGGATCGCCTATAAGCCCTTTCTTATTTGCCACAGTCATGGATGAACTTAGAAAGTCAAGTAAAGACGATAGACCTTGGTGTATGATATTGCAAAGTAAAGTTGCAAATATGGCGACAAACATTTGAAAACAAGGGTTTTAGATTTAGTCAAAGCAAGATTGAGTACGTGGAATTTAAGTTTGGTGGAGGTAGAAGCAGTGGTAATAGCGGAATTACTCTAGTTGGTAAGGAGATACCGGTCAGTCATATGTTCTGTTACTTGGGTTTCATAATTCAGAAGGTCAGTGAATTAGATGGAGATGTATTCCATAGAATCAGAACAAGGTGGATGAAATGAAAGAATGCGTTAGGATTTTTGTGCTATCGAGGTATGCTGACTAGATTGAAGAGTAAATTTTATAGGAGCAATTAGGCCTACATTACTGTATGCCGTAGAGTGTTGGCGGTGAAACAATATAACATTCAAAAGATGAGTATGATAGAGATGCGCATGCTGCGTTGGATGGGTGGAGATACTATAAAGGACCACTTGAGGAATGACACAATCACACAATCAGACAAAATGTTGGATTAACACCTATTGAAGATAAGATGCGGGATTTTCGCTTGCGGTGGAGATGTATTCCATAGAATCAGAACAAGGTGGATGAAATGGAAGAATGCGTTAGGATTTTTGTGCTATCGATGTATGCTGACTAGACTGAAGAGTAAATTTTATAGGAGCAATTAGGCCTACATTACTGTATGGCGTAGAGTGTTGACGGTGAAACAATATAACATTCAAAAGATGAGTATGATAGAGATGCGCATGCTGCGTTGGATGGGTGGAGATACTAGAAAGGGCCGCTTGAGGAATGAGACAATCAGACAAAATGTGGGAGTAACACTTATTGAAGATAAGATGCGGGATTTTCGCCTGCGGTGGTTTGATCATGTGCGTAGAAAACCGCGTGATGCACCTCTCAAATCCAAACCAACGTGGATTAGAGGAGTCAGGAGTGATATGCTTCTTCTTGGGTTGGATGAGGGTATGACTTCAAAAGTTTGGAGAAAGCAAAGTTGAGGGCGGGTATTCATGTGGCAATTGATGTCTCATCTTTTTCTCCTCATCCTCTCTTTATTTCCCTTGTGTTTTTGTTTTTTATCCTTTTATATATATATAAGGACTCCCAGGAAAGAAATGAGAATGAACCTGGACCCTTGGATTGTAATATGTGAAATTGAATTGTGCATTTGGTAAAACTGAAATGTGCATTAAGTGAAATTGAAATGTGCATAATAAAAGGCACAGAAATGCCACCACATCGTAGTTTTTATTCTGCACATTTCAGTTTCACCTAGTGTACATTTCAGTTTCTCCTAATGCACAATGCAGTTTCACATAATACCACTATGTCTTACTTTTTGTGTTGCACATTTCGATTTCACCTAATGCACATTTCAATTTCACTTAATGCACATTCAATTTCACAGAATACAATCTAATGGTCCAGATTCATTCGCATTTCTCTCCCAAGATTATTTTCTCACTCCAACCTAATTCTATACACACACACACACACACACACACACACACATATATACACGGGGGAGAGTTCTAGTGAGAACCCATTTTAAAATGAGAACTCATTTTAAAATGAGAACTTCTAATCTTCATCATTAATTTTTATCATCAATGGTTAATAATGACAAGGTGGATTAATTGCATAAGAGCCCTTTTTGAATTTGGGTAATTATGAATATGATCCCTTGTGAATCATAATCAATGATTGCAATAACGGAAAGGTTGAGATTTAGAGTTCTCATTATAAAGAGTTCTCATTTTAGGAGGATTCAAATACAAAGCGGTCTTCCCATGCAAAATGAGAATAAATCTTATGCATTCATTTCTACATCTAATGGCTCAAAATGAGCTTAAAAATGCACTAAATTTGATCAAAAATGCCGTGGCAATTTTCGTAAATAAACCGAAGTTTTTTGCCACCACAAAAAAGAGCAATAGAAACATGCAATAGTGCAATGCGGTGAGGGAAAAGTGCAATTGTTCTCACTTTGCACGGGAGCACCATTTTTTATTTGAACTCTCCCCTATATATATATATATATATATATATATATATATATATATACTTATATATAGGGAAGGGTTCTAATGAGAACCATCTTTAAAATGAGAAATAGTTATAATGAGAACTTTTAATCACAACCTTTTATTTAATTCAATCATTGGTAGGATGCACATGGGGTACTTTGTGTAATTAATGGAAATTCAAATGGGGTCTTTTTTATAATTATTGTAGAGTTATTACAAAATTGCCACCTTATTAATTCTAACCGTTGATTCCATAAATCAAGGGTGTTGATTAGAAGTTCTCGTATAGAAATGAGTTCTCATTTTAAAAATGGTTCTCACTAGAACCATCCCCTATATATATATTTATGATTTTATATATACACACACTCCGTCCCCAATGAAGTTCTCAGTTTGACTTCACACGTTTTTAGGGGGAATAATTTTATATATTGACTTTCCAATAATACCCTTTTAGTGTTTGTTGTATCCCTGTTCTCTAAATTGGTCGCCAATCGCCACATTCCTCTTACATGTGAGTCTGTCTCCGGTGGCCTCGTTGAAAATGAAAGAGTTGTAGAGGAACGGTGTACACCTCCATTTTCCTCCATTGTTTGTCGCCTCATCGTCGGTGTCCTTTAACGTTTGCTGAGGAACGATGTGCATCATGCGCAGCCCATCTTCAATTGATTCCCTTGATCTGACATTATCCGGAGAGGGTTCACCTAATTCTGACAACAATCAAGGGCCAAACTCCCTCAATCTTCTCGCCGATTAAGGAAACTGTCGATTTTTACTCTCGCCGGGAACCTCTGTCGAAGGCAGCAGGTTTTGTTTTCGAGACCTGATTTTGCCAAGCCTCTCAACGATCGGAACACTCAACTCATAGTGTAAAAATCCTTCCAGGAGTTGATCTACAGGGAAGAAGGGGTAAAGCATAAGGGCTAACTGGGTCATTTTATTCAAATTCTTAGCCAAAATAGAAAGTATCTAAAGTGGGAATTTTATTTTGGGACATCCCAAAAAGGAATGTTGAAATTTAATTGAGGGATGGAGGGAGTATTATATATATAGTATATTCTTCTTATTCTTTTTATTCTATCTTTTTTATGTATATCCCGTCTCTTTTTATATTGTCTTTTTTATCATAGCTTATCTTTCTGATCTTTCTTTTCTTTTTGATTCCGATATCATGTATCGATTCATGTTAGCCGACCCCAAAGTCTTTTGGGACTAAGGCTTGGATGTTGTTGTTGTTCTTAGATAGTATAGTAGAGAAAAAGACATGGAGAATTGTAAAATGGAAACAACCTGAAAAGAAAAAAATAAAGCCCATAACCAGCTTGTTTCCTTTCATTTTCACTGTTTGTGCATAATCTCATTTTGATCAATATTTGGAATACAAGTTAGTGATTGCAGTGCAACTATGGATGAGAGATCGTTAGTGGTTAATGCTAATTGAAACAGCCCGTAAGGGTGTGAAGCCATGCATACCATTTGGTATGAATTTTTTTTAACAGCAAAAGTTAGATGGATTTGGTTTTCATTGATAGTTTCATGAATCTTGTACGTTGATTGATGACACTGAATGGCAAGCTTGCACTATATGAGAACTTGGCTGTGTAAAAAAGACATACTTTGTGTTTTCAGACTAAAAGACAAGTGGGAAGTTTCTTTGAATCACTCTATTTGTGCTTTACATATATTAAGTAATTCTCCTGCAACTTCCGGTATGAACCGAGAGATTTTATTTTTCAGGTGGCAAGTTCGCTTCTTTTCTTTTTAGTATGTGTTGATTTTGTTCATATTTGTACTTCAAGACATTCATAACATGTTTTAACAATCTTGCAAGAAATCTGGAATGCTCTCAAGGCTGCAACTGAGGCGACTGATATTACCCTTGCTCGAACAATTGTGAACAGTGCTGGTATTATTGTCCACTCCCCTGACATGACGATCTGCTATGATGAGAGAGGTTCCAAAATTGATTTCTAACCTCCTTTTTGCATTTATGTGTACGTCTACCTATAATGCAAAGAAACTCGGGGGCTATGCATGGATCCATAAAAGATCTTGGGAAAGTAAAAATAGTGCCAACGGAAGTTGTTTTTGTTTATTTAGTTTTACGCTGAAGAAAATGGAAAAGGAAATAAATAATGATTAATGATTTGTAATTTTTGTATATATTTAAATTTCTTTATCTTTATGCAATAGAATTAAATAAGTTAATAAAAAAACTACCTTGAACAAATATCAAGAAGAAATTATTTGAGTTTGGACCAACAATTTATTCCCCACCCAGTCCATCTCCAAGCATATCCTTACCTTCCAAAATCTCCCTATTCTTAATCCCCATTTTTCCCCAGCATTTTCTAAGTTCCAAGTGGACCCTTAGAAACTAACATTCCTAAGTTTCAGGAATCTGGTTTGCCACTACTTGTCTTCGCCATTTTTTCTCCACCCAGAATTGATTATTCCCATGGGGTTCCTATTTTAAATTTGTCTCTGCAACCGGAAACTGAGTCTGACGGGGAATTCTCTAATATATCTATCTATATATTACAGGTGCCAAGTATGAGTTACCGAAGTACGTTTTGAGTGAACCAACGAACTTGAAAGGTGAAAAGACATAGCTGAAGAAGAGAGATAAGTTTGGTAATGCTAGAGGTGGTGAATGCGCGTGTGCGTATGTAAAAAGGGATTGTAGTCCTGTAATTCGTTTTTAGTGTTTCTGATATTGTCAACTATGATTTGAATATAGCAATTCTACTTTTGTGTAATGTTTGATGGTAGTATCTGGTGGCTACACCAACCCATATCTTGCCCAATATGCTTGATGAAAAAAAATGATATTAGTACCAACTATGTGCACCAACTTTTTGAATACATGGGTTGGAGTGTTGGACAATTGTCCTGAAGAAATACTTAAGGCTTGTTTACTAACAGAGATATTTTCCAGTTTTTCAGAAAATTGGAAAACTAGAGAAAAGAACACAGAAAAACGTGTTTATCAAATCGTTTTCCAAAACGAAAAAATAAGACATGTCTCTCTTTTCCTTAATGATTTGGAGAAGTGACTTTTACTAGTTTTCTAAATTTGGAAAACGCAGATGCTACAATGAATTTGCATACTTACACGTAGTGGTGGGTCTGGTCCCGCTCCGATGTCGATTCCATTCCGGTACCTCCGTCCTCGTACCTAACCCCTTACCCTACTGTACCCCCCCAACCCCGTACCCATTTTCCCTACAATGACCCTACCCCACCCCCTACCACATGCCCCTACCTCAGACCCACCCTGATCCATCTTACCCTACCGCCACCCCCCTACCACCTCGACCCAACCCGACCCACCCCTACCCCTACCCCCACCACTCGTATATTACCCATTACTCCTTACCACATGCCCCTACCTCGGCCCTACCCTACCGCCATCCCACCCCCCACCCTACCCTTCCCCTACCTCGGCCCCACCCCGATCCACCCTACCTTACCGCCACCCGCTACCACATCGACCCCACCCTGACCCACCTTACCCTACCCCCCTTCGTACTGCCATCTTACCCCCCCCACCTTACCCTTCCCCTACCTCGGACCCACCCTGATCCACCCTACCCTACCGCCACCCCCTACCACCTCGACCACACCCCGACCCACCCTACCCTACCCCCACCCCTCGTATATTATCCCTTACCACATGCCCCATACCTCGGCCCCACCCTACGCCCACCCTCGTACCGCCATCCTACCCCCACCCTACCCTTCCCCTACCTCAGCCCCACCCTTATCCCGGCCCCACCCTACAGCGATCTTACCCTAAACTCCCTACCCTACCCCTACCTTACACCAACCCCAACCCTACCCACTATCCCCACCCTTACCCCTAACCACGACCCTAGTCCACCCACTACCCTCACCCAACCCCTACCCCTAGACCTTACCACCCCACCCCCAACCATACCCCTTACCCCACCCCTTACCCATACCTTCCCTACCCCGACCCCTACGAGTAGGTATGGGTGTGTATTAAGGGTTCTAGGGGAGTATGGGTAGAGCGTAAGATCGTGGTAAGGGTGGGGGTAGGGGTCAAGGGTGTGGAATTGGGTGTAGGGTGTAGGGCGGGGGTACGACGTATAGGGGTGGGTAGGGGTTAGGGGTATGGGTACACGTACCAGGTGATCGACCCCACATATTATATTATATATTTGTGTGTCTATATATGTATAAGGTTATTTTGGACATTTTAATGTTAAACAGTGTTTTAAACCTTTTGAAGTAAACATGATCTTACAACATTGCTTATTTTATGCGCCGCTTATTAACGCGAGTCTTAATAAACACCCTTTAGTAACTTGTGAAATAAACATGTCCTCAATCTTCTGGATGATCACAAAACTGGGTGAAAAAACTGATGAACATGTTTTCAGATATAAAAATGGAAAACAAAAAAATAGAAATAGAAAATTGGAGATAGAAAAACTGAAAAATATAAACAGAAAATTGGAGAACGAAAAACAGAAGTAGAAAACAGGAAAATATCTCTGCTAGGAAACACAACCTTAACATTTCGAGAAAGTGCTTCATTAATGTGTGTAATTTGTGTGCCACTCTTACATTTTTTTTCCAATAAAGATGTCAAATATCTGACTGTACAGAAATCATTGTATGTGCATAAACATTGTTATTTATTCCTAGACATTGCTTGTCTATGATTGATAAAAAGGCCATAAAACATGCATTTTTTTCTGTATCTTGCATTCATTGATTTCATTCTGTAAAACTGGATTTTTGCAACATTTATTGCCTGAGCATTTCCTTGCAGACCTTCTGCAATTTTACAAACTCCGTTGGACTGTTGCAGTGCTGCTACTCGCAAGGTCTTCAAAGACCAGACTTCAAGACATGATGGCGGCTGTGGGCATAGGGAATCTAAGGATGGGGTTTAGGAGGGGAAGATGGTCATGGAAGCACCAGGATGGATTAGTTAGGCATACCCAACCATTTGGCATCACCAAGATGAAGTAAGGCATGGAAGCCATTCCAATATTGTTTGGCCATTGTAAAGTCAGAGAAGGGCTTGTGGATTGGGATTTCGCAGATCAACATTCGAATCAGTGAATTGTGTAGAATTGGGACTGTTCTGGTCATCGATTGGGAGCTTGACATCAACTTCGAAATGATTTCTACTCTTGGGATCATAAGCGAGAGAATTGGGCGTTTTAGCGGCGCTTTGATAATTGGAGTGTCGACAATTGATATAGAAGTCTCAAATTACTACGTACTTGCCAAATATTGCACCATTCCAGTTCCAAAGGTCTTTTTAAGCATTTGGAGTTTGCATTTTGCAGAACATCCATGTCATTCCGCCGCCGTAGTGAGAGTAGTCTTGGACTCCGGTCGGGCCACCCGGCCCGGGAACCAGCCCGGCCCGCTACTGTGCGAGCCCGACCCGACCCGACCCGATGGGGGTTAATTACAAAACAAAAAAAATACTTGGACCCGGCTCGACCCGGCCCCGGTGCTAACCCGGGCCGGTCCCGGGCCTTCAACCCAAACATCAAAAGCCCGGCCGGGCCTAGGCCCGACCCGGGTCCATGACTAAGTGAGAGGAGCTCCAACTCTTATCTACCACGTTTGAGAATTGTAGATGAGACAACCACACATTCAGAAATATGAATTGCTTAATCCCTCGTTGTTTGGCAGAGAATACCTCATTAGGATGTGGTAGTGATCCAATGTTTGTCGAGATCTATCGTTGTTGTGAACACCACGCCAAGTGTATTGGTAATTGGTTCACATGAAGCTATAAGTTAGGGAAGTCCCTCTTTTCTACAAAGCTATTAAGTGCTCGTAGTGTATAGCTCTTTCACCTATGATATGTATCGCATAGATGATCCAAAGTCCAAACTTGAAGTGCTTCATCTTCATATGAGCATGAATAAATAGTTTGTCAAAGGAAACACGAGACAAAATTCGCATATAATACCATAGTTGACCTCCCGATAATATTTGAGAATCGAAGATTGAGACGAAAAGTGTCTTCTTTATTACTCGTATCTTCTACAAGGGGATCAAGAATAAAGAGCAATTGGATACTGCGTATTATTTTGTTTAACTAAATTACCCAGCTTTGGACAATTCTAAGATAGGCAGTTCATTGATCATCGAGAAGATCGAGGATTTTCTAGCTGCAAGCCTGCAAGGTTAGTATTCAAGATAGGGTGTTTAATTGCAATTTTTTTCTAGAAACTTGAATGAAGCTTCCCTTAGCTTTTTTGACAGAATCCTCATTATTAGCTAGGTATATACGAAGTATATCCTTAATTTCTTTTATACGTGTGCCCAAAGACATACATAGATAGCCTTAATGTGGAATCTTCATGGCGCGGATTGAGTTTGAAATAGTTGGGCCCTCCACTTTTGGAATACGTTAAAGAAATGAAATAGAAGACAATTAGAGCCCGTTTGGAGACCTCTTTTTTCGGCTTATCAGGCTTATCAGCCAGCTTTTTCACCAAACACGTAACTTTTACTTTTGTGTGCTGAATTGTGTAATAAGCAGAAAAAGTAAGGTTGGAGTTACTTTTTTGGCTGTATTGGCTGAAGTTACTGTAGAGGACTATTTTAGCTATTTTTACATGTAATTTTTTCTGTAATTTATTAATAAAATATATTTTTAAAATATTTCTTTCTTGAATCAGCAGAATCAGCCAAAACAGCCACTTAAGCCAGAATTTCATAAATTTCAGCAGAATCAGCCAAAACAGCCGATTTTCGTGCTACCAAACGGGCTCTTAGTTTATTAGAACTAAAGGTGTTTATTCAAACAAACAATCTAGTCTTGAATTGCACAAAGTTAAAAATATAACATTTATGTTTTTATTATTTATATTTATAAGCTATAAATCTACCAATCAATGAAATTCAGAAGATTGGTTATGTTTTGATGACATCACCAAATTACTAAGCTTAATTATTTATTTTTACACAAAGTATTAAATTAAACATGCTCAACGGTAATTCTCTAAGGAAAAATTGATAGTAATAATCTCAACTATCGATTGTTTCAGAATAATCCCAACTTTAGGGACCTTCCGCCAATAATGGTCCCTATAAATAAATTGTTGTAGTTTCTAAAGTGGATGAGAAGAGATATAACAAGTAATCCCTATAAATAATCCCAACTTTTAATTTTTACACTTAATTTCTATTTAAAATTCACTTTTTATAGGAGGTAATATTTGGTCATGGACCATTATTGGCGGACGGTCCATATAGTTGGGATTATACAAAAATAATCAATAGTTGGGATTATTATCGGCGGACCGGCAATAGTTGGGATTATTATTTTCAATTTTTCCATTCTCTAAATAATCTGCTTTCATACTCAACTCAAAGGTAGGTATCTTGATATGATTTTCCAATCTTTTTTTATTCAAGTCTTTATTTCTTCCATTAAAGTTGATTAATTCCTAATCTCACACATATTTCTTATGATAATTCTAATATATTCATCATAGAAATACATATGTTATTTATTCATTTGTTACGTAATTAAAAGTTGCTCAATATATAATTAAAACCTAATCAAATTTTAAAATAGGACTAAGTATGTTTTATTATTCAAATATGACTTATTTGATTTATTCAAGGAATAAGTTAATTAAAACTTTCCCGAATTGCAGTGAATGAGTCATATCTTGCGAATAAAATCACGACTTTCCTACTTTTTTGCTAGACTTTCTAGTCTCTTATAGTATTTGTTCAATGTTAAATGCAACCATCATTAACTAAGATGAATTTTGAACATGTGACATGCTCCTTAGGAGTGTTACCGTGATGATATTGAAACACAAAATGCTTGACATGCTTTTTCTATTTATGAATTTCTTCATTGTTTTAGTCTTACTTAGGAAATCATTTCTTACATAATATACCAAATACCAAA